TCTGACATCTGCAGTTCTGTGACATGACCCAGTCTCTGCCCACAGCCCATTCTTGCTTAACAGACTCACGATTCTTTTTTTGGAGACCTCAGACTGGAAGGAAGGCAGGGGAGAAAGCTGGTACTGGGCATGCCTAGTGCTTCGATGGTTCTAATTCAGCCCGCTCACGTCCCTGGGAGATGAGCTGTAGCACTTCCATTTCAAAGAGGAGGAAACTGAGACCCTCGTGTGGGGTTTTGCAGTGTCTTCTGAGAGACAGGGTGCTACTTTCTCCAAGGTGTGTGTGTGTGTGTGTGTGTGTGTGTGTGTGTGTGTGTGTGTGTGTGTGTGTGGAGTCTTTGAAACCACTTTGCATTGTTAAGGGAGGGGCACCTGGGGGGACTCGAGTCCCAGGGTGGAGCCAAGCCTTTGCTCTCCTGCCCCTGGTCTAGCCGAGGGCCCAGGGGAGGATCGGGTCTGGAGGGCCTGTTTCTGTTTGCTGCTTCCTCTCGGACCCTCGTTGTGTTTCTTGGAGCCTTCCTGCTTTCCTGAGAGCCCCGCCCTAGTTACCTGTGGACTTGCACCTTGCCCGGGGAAGGCAGTCCAGCCTTTGTTGCCCTTGCTCGATACTGCTTGCCTAGTTCAAATATCTAGTTCATTGTCCACATCTACTTCCTGCTTGGCTCTGGTCTTAGCAGTCAGTAACACCCATGGCCTCTTCCCTACCCACTCCTCCCAACCCCAGGGTTCGTTGGACAGCATCTGCATCTCTAATCACATGACCTCTCCATACTCTGGCTTGCTGTGTGACCTGAAGCAGGTCACCACATCTCTAGACTTCCGCACTTATAAAATAGCAGCAGGGTTGGTCCACGTGCGCATGTCTGCATGGGCTTCTTCTCCCTTCTTTTTTTTTTTTTTTGGTTTTTAAAGGCGTGCGCCACCACCGCCCGGCTCTTCTCCCTTCTTTTTATGAGAAAGGATCTCACTGTGTAGCCCTGGCTAGCCTGAAACTCAGCATGTAGACCAGGCTAGCCTTGAACTCAAGAGATCCAACTGCCTTTGCCTCCCAAGCACCACCAGGCCCAGCTGACGTTGTAGACCAGGCTGGCCTTAAACTTCTAGGGAACCATACTCTGGCCCCTGCCTCTCAAGTGCTGAGATTTTGAGAGTGAGGGTTGGCACCGAGCTCCCGACTCCTCTTCCATAGACAAGCCAGATGATACTTATTTATGTTTGTTTGTTATGCTTTGGGCTTTTTTGTTTGCTTATTTGTTTTTTTGGTTTTTCAAGACGGGATTTCTCTGTGTAGCCCTGGCTGTTCGGGAGCTCACTCTGTAGCCCAGGCTGGCCTTGAACTCACAGAGATCTACCTGCCTCTGCCAGGTGGTATACCACCACCCAGCTATTTATGTTTAATCTTCAAGTATAAAGGACTTTTCATTCTCCACCTTCTGGTGTGTGGTCAAGCACTCTGGAGGGGCATGCTGTTGGGAGTGTCTCCTCACTTTTCTGGCTCCAATCATTCCCATAAGGCAGGCATTTATTTTTAAGCAAACAGTTACTGTGTGCCAGATGGTGTTCATGCATTATCTCATTTAACCCACTCAACGGCCACGTGGTTCTGCCCATGGAGTAACAACAGCATTTCTTGTTTGCTGAGCATTCTCCATGGAGCATCTCATTCTCACAGCCACCCTTAAAGAAGTTATTCTCCCTGCTTGTCGGGTCAGGAAACTGAGGCATGGACAGGTTAAGAACACAGAGCTGTTGAGGTAGCATGGGGACGTCAGTCATGAGTGGGTTAATTTAGAACTGCTCTTCTTCCGGAGTTCTCCCACTACAATTTCTCAGTGCCCTCATTTGCCCAGGAGGGAAACTGAGGGCCCAGAATAGATGTGCCCTGCACATCATCAGCTCCAGGCTTCGTGAAGCTCATGAGGCCAAGGGGCCATACCTGGAAGGAATATGTGGCCTACCGGTCAGAACCTGTTTTCCTTAACAAAGTGTCTCCTGCTCCCCCCGACCTGGGGGGGTCTCTGGAATCGTCCTCAGTTACATTGTTCAGGACCTCATGGAGACAGACCTGTACAAGCTGCTTAAGAGTCAGCAGCTGAGCAACGACCACATCTGCTACTTCCTCTACCAGATCCTTCGGGGCCTCAAGTACATACACTCAGCCAACGTGCTCCACCGGGACCTGAAGCCCTCCAACCTGCTTATCAACACCACCTGCGACCTTAAGGTCAGAGGCTGCACGTCTGCTGCCCCTTCCCGGGACCCGGGGCAGGACTGGGAGAAGCATCCTTGTTGCATGGCAAACAAGAACAGCTTGGGCAGGGCAGGGCACTTCCTGGACTGTGGAGGCCTTGGGCTCCTAACTCAGTGACCTGGGTCTGATTCCAGATATGTGACTTTGGCCTGGCCCGGATTGCCGACCCTGAGCATGATCACACTGGCTTTCTGACCGAGTATGTGGCCACACGCTGGTACCGAGCCCCAGAGATCATGCTTAACTCCAAGGTAGGAGAGCTGCCCACTTCGGCAAGGAAGTCCTAGAGCTATCTCTGGGCCTTGGCATAATCCCTCTGGCCCTTGGGCTGTGGCAAGATATAGAGATCAGTTTTCCTAGCCTCTGTTCTCTGCCCTTTGCTTGGTGTTGGATCTAAGTTGGATGTGATGCTTGGCCCAAATACCAGGAAGGGCACTGATAAGGCTGATCAGGGAGTTCAGCACATTCTCCTCCCCAGGGCTACACCAAATCCATCGACATCTGGTCTGTGGGCTGCATTCTGGCTGAGATGCTCTCCAACCGGCCCATCTTCCCCGGCAAGCACTACCTGGACCAGCTCAACCACATTCTAGGTGAGAGGGCCTGGCTGGCTCAAAGGGATGGTGGTTAGCTTATCAGAGGTGACATTTCTGGAGGGTGAGAATTGGGGTACCACATGTGGAGCCTTCCCAGCATCTCATGCATGGCATTTCAGTAAGGTGTTCTTTCCCATTTGAAAGATGGCAAAAGCAAGACTAAACCCTACACCTAAGGGAGACTGCAGTCAGGATTTGAACCCAGGACGCCCTGGTCCTCAGCTCTTTGCTCCTGTCACTGCCCCAGTGGGTAGACGAGGAGGTGGCTGCAGGTGGCTAGGCCTGGGTTCCTGTTCTTGCTTCCTAACCTGTTCCCAGAAAGAGAACTTGGCATCTCAACAAGATGACTGCTTCGTCCACAGGGATCTTGGGCTCCCCATCGCAGGAGGACCTTAACTGTATCATCAACATGAAGGCCCGGAACTACCTGCAGTCTCTGCCCGCTAAAACCAAGGTGGCGTGGGCCAAGCTTTTCCCCAAATCCGACTCCAAAGGTGAGTGAGACGGAGGACTGGGGGTAGGCTAAAACCCAGCAGCAAAGACGGGCGTGTGACCCGAATGCCGGCCTCAGTAAATGGGCCCCTGGGACGGACAGGTGACGCCCGTGGGAGTCCTTCAGCCGTCTCTTGACCGCTGCCCATCTTGCCTTAGCGCTTGACCTGCTGGACCGGATGTTAACCTTCAACCCCAACAAGCGCATCACGGTGGAGGAAGCCCTGGCCCACCCGTACCTGGAGCAGTACTATGACCCGACAGACGAGGTGGGCTGGCCGCCGGTGCCGGGAGGGGGGTCGGTAGCCCCGGCGCCTGGCCTGTGCCTCACTGTCTTTGCCCCCTAGCCGGTGGCTGAGGAACCCTTCACCTTTGACATGGAGCTGGATGACCTCCCTAAGGAGCGGCTGAAGGAACTGATCTTCCAAGAGACGGCCCGCTTCCAGCCAGGGGCCCCAGAGGCCCCCTAGCAACAACAGGCATCCCTGTCCCCCGGGACCTGGTGAGCGGCTCACATTGCCCTTGCACAGCCACACCCTGGTCAGAGGCTGCCTAGCCCGGGGACCTCGTCAGCCACACAGGTAGCAACAGAAGGGCCCGGGCCTGCTGGTCACGTGTGGCCCATCCGGTCCTTTGTAGATCACTTAGGCTCCGCCCATCTCCTGCCACCAGCATCCACTGGAGACCCATAAAGGTGGGGGATCCTACCCCTGTGAGGAGCCACCCCAGGCCTTAGGGGGAGGGGCAGAGTCTACCAGGCCGACTCCGAGAGGAGCCATCACAGTGGCGTGTGGTGGTGGCTGCTGTCATTGGCTGCAGAGAAGGAAGCCAAGACCCACAGGCAGACCAAAGGCACTGGTGTCAGGGCTCTGTGGGATCTTCCCAGCTGACAGTTCTTTTCTCTCTCTCTTTCTTCCTTCAGGTCCTGCTCCTACCTGCTCCTTCTCTGCAGATTGTTAGAAAATGAACTTTGCTCAACCCGGACCCCGGCAGCCCAGGCTGGACCAAGGGTGGGCCTCGCCACCTTCTTTCACTTTGCTGGGGTCTGCTGCTTCAGGCAGGCTCCTCTCACCCCAACCCCCTGCCCCACCTCCCCGGGGCCTGAGTGGTGAGGTGGCCCCAGAGCTGATCTCTGCTGCTCTGCCTTCATCTACCCCTGCTCGCCCTGGCTCTGGCCAACCATTCTGGAATGGCAGGGCTGTGCTGCCCTAGGACCTGTGCTATGGAGGGGTGGGGGGCACTGAGTAGAGACTCAGGCTAAGCTCTGCCTACTCATCCGGTTGGAACCCCACCCTGTTTTCCCCGAAGGAACATTCCTAAGTCTCAAGGGCTAGTTTCCCTGAGGAGCCAGGCCAGGCCAAACCCTCTCCCTCTCAAAGCTGCCACATGTAACACCCTTGCTGCTTCTGTGTGTGGGTTATTGGAAGTGGGGCTGGGGCCCATGGACAGCTGGCGCCCCTCCCCACCGCCCTGTGCCTGTATCTAATATATAAATATAGAGATGTGTATATGGCTAGCCCTGCCTCTGTCTGTGTGTGCCGACGAGACCCCCAGTGTGCCGTTCCCACAGCCAACCCCTGCCTCCAGCTGTGCCTCCAGCTGTGGCCCTCCGCGGCCTCTTTGGCTCCAGCTGGCCGGGGATGAGGATGGGGTAAAAGGAATTCCAGTCTCCTGGAAAGGGGTCAGTTTTCCTTCAGTCACTGTCTTCCCTGACAGCTTCCTGTTTAACCGGCTGGGGTGATCTGTTGTGACTCAGGGCACCCTCCATCCCCAAATTCCTGGGAAGTGGCAAAGGCAGTTACAGATCCTGGCCACAAGCACCCATGGGAGACAGAAAGGTCTAAACAATGGTGACCCCCCCACCCACCCACACACACAGTCAAGAACAGAAGGGGGTGTTGGGATCATGAAAAGTCGGTGGACATGAAGCCCAGGGCTGCCTGCCTGGGTTCCTGTGCCTGCCCCAGCTCTGCAGTCTGGCCGAGTGCCAGGAGCAGGGCAGCAGGCTCAGCAGGTCCCAGGCGTGGTACTGCCCAGCAGTGGAGCCAGCCCACACTGGCTCGGCAGGCAGGCAGGCAGGTAGGCGCGGCAGCCGGCGGCAGAGCCCCGCGGGACTGGGAGGCTGCACTTGTGGCAGACACCTGCTGAGGGGTGAGGCTATGGTCCCTGTCCTGTACCTCCTCCTGCCCACCCTGGGCTGCTATGTCGCGCTCTCCATCTTCTTCCTGCGCCGACCCCACCTGCTGCACGCAGCCAGGGCTCCGGCCTTCCCCATCCGCCTGGCTGCCCACCGCGGAGGTGAGCTGAGTCAGGGAGGCGGGAGGGGTTGGCAGCAGCCACCTGGGGGGTGGAGTGAGCCTGAGGAGACAGGTGCCCCAGTGGGCAGCACAGAGTGGAGGTACAAGGTGTGAGGGAATGGTAAAGACGGGGGTAAGGGGAGTCACGGGGGCCTGGAGGGCACGCGATGGAGAAGGAGAGGCCAGCTCAACCTGGCTGATGGGAAGAGAGGAAACCTGAAGCAAGTGGAAGCCATCAGGAAGAGAGGGAGGCAGGAAGGTCAGGCCAGGCCCCAGGGTCCCACCCAAACTGCCTCCCACAGGGTCTGGAGAACGGCTGGAGAATACCATGGAGGCCATAGAGAAGTAAGTCCGACATGTCAGGTTGTGGGGTGAGCTCTGCAGGGCAGCCGAGGGCGCTCTTTACTCACTTCCTAATTTGCGTGTCTGGAAGCCCCTGGAATTATGCAGGTGGGGTCACAGGTCCCACCATAAATTCTGTCCCAGGATCTCCCCTCCAGTACATGCCCCGGTCCTTCCCTGGTCCTCTTCCCCCACCGACCTTTGCTCCCGTAGTTCCATGGCCCAGCGAGCAGATCTCCTGGAACTTGACTGCCAGCTCACACGGGATGGCGTGGTGGTGGTATCCCACGACAAGAACCTGTCCCGCCAGTCAGGCCTAAATAAGGATGTGAACAGCCTGGATTTTAAGGTGAGCTTTGCAGCCTCTCATACTGAGAGGTGACATGCTTGCACACGTGGGTCCTGATGACATTTGCTCCCCACAGGAACTGCCCCTCTACAAGACAGAACTGGAGATCTATTTCTCACCAGGTAGGATGTGTACAGCCAGCCTCGCACGGCTTAGCCATCTTCTCACATACTCTCCCCACCCCCCATCCCCCCACCCCTCCCACCCCGCTCTAGCTCAGCTTTCCCACTCTGACCCCAGTTTTTGTGACCTGACTCCCAGGCCAATTTGCCCACGGGTCAGATCGACACATGATACGACTGGAGGACGTATTCCAGAAATTTCCAAGGTTGCCCATGAGTGTGGAGATCAAAGAAAAAAATGAAGAGCTCATTCACAAGGTGGTACTGAAGCCAGGCAGGTGAGGGCAGGCCCACGAGAGGAGGCCTGGCTTCCCTCACTCCCCTCGTTCCCGTCCTAGGTAGCCAACCTGGCTAGGAGCTTTGACCGCAGTGATATCACCATCTGGGCTTCAGAGAAGAACTCAGTCATGAAGAAGTGCAAGGCTGCCGTGAGTCCCTCGTTCTCTGCTATGGGGCCAGAAGCCACCCCAGCCCGGGGAGTCCGTGCTAGGGGGCCCTGCTTTGAGCACAGTCCCCAGTGTGGGGTTTGGAGCAGCAGGACCACGCTTGTGGCCATGTGCACTGCCGAGGTGTCGCCATGAGGCCAGCGCTAGGGACCCCCCAGTGCTGGCTGTGTTGGTCAGTTGGTTGTTACTGTAACAGAACTTCAGGAAGCAACTCATGGCTCCTGGTTTCAGAGATTTTGACCCATAGCCACTTTGGCCCAATTGCTAGGGGTAGAGAGCGTGAGAAACAGAGCCACCCAGTAGTGACGCTGAAGGGTGAAGACGATGCCTGGGCTGGCTTCTTCCTTTTTCCCCCTTTGCTTTATCCAGACTCCTAGCCCACAGAGATGGTGCTGCCCGCACTCAGGGTAGGTTTCTTCCCTCCCTTAGCTAATTCTGTGGGAAGATCCTCAGACATGGCCACAGCTGTGTGTCACCAAACTCCAGGGTACTGCTACTATGGTTTTGTTTTGTTTTGTTGAGACAGGGTTTCTCTGTGTAGCTTTGTGCCTTTCCTGGAACTCACTCTGTAGACCAGGCTGGCCTCGAACTCACAGAGATCGCCTGCCTCTGCCTCCCGAGTGCTGGGATTAAAGGCGTGCGCCACCACTGCCCGGCGGTGCCACTTCTTAATCAAGTGGACAGGATTAACCATTACACTGTTCAAGTGTGACTTTGATGTCCAGCCCTGACCCCGTGGGCCCATGCCAACTCTCTGCTGTCCCAGGCGCGATGGGTCCTGTTTCTCACTTCTCCCCTCACCACCAGAACCCTGACATGCCGATGGCCTTCACCATACTGAGATCAATCTGGATACTGCTGCTCTACTACCTGGGGCTGCTACCTTTTGTCTCCATCCCTGAGAAGTTTTTCTTCTGCTTCCTGCCCACCATCATCAACAGGTACCAGGGGTGAGATAAGGCTTGGAAACACCCAGCTCAGGCCATGCTGCCCAGGATCCCCAGTTCCCTAGTTCCCTCAGCATCACCAAGATTCTTTAAATATTTTTTTTTGGTTTTTCGAGACAGGGTTTCTCTGTGTAGCTTTGCGCCTTTCCTGGAACTCACGTGGTAGCCCAGGCTGGCCTCGAACTCACAGAGATCCGCCTGGCTCTGCCTCCCGAGTGCTGGGATTAAAGGCGTGTGCCACCACTGCCCGGCTACCAAGATTATTTAAATTTTTTTTTTTTTTTTTTTACACTGTGTGTGTGTGTATGTGCCTACCTCATATGTGCAGGGATAGAGGCCAGAAGAGGGTCAGATCCCCCGGAACTGGAGTTATAGGTGGTTGTGAACAACCAACATGAGTACTTAGCACCAAATTCAGGTCCTCTGAACGAATAGCAAGCACTCTTAACCGCTGAGCCAGCTCTCCAACCCCATGGCCCCTTATAGATTTGGTTTGGTTTTGTTTTCTTGAGACAGCGTTTCATGTGTCTTAAGCTGGCCTGGAACTAAGCAGCTGAGGAAGACACTGAATTTTTAATCCTCCTGCCTCCGCTTCACTAGTGCTGCAATTATAGGCATACACCACCACACCTGCCTGGTTCTAGTCAGTGCTAGACACGGTGTATGCTGGGGAACAACTACCAGCCGAGTCACATCCTGGTTTGTTTTTAATTTGTTATACGTGTGTGCGTGTGTGTGTGTGTGTGTGTGTGTGTGTGTGTGTGTGTGTGCGCGCGTGTGCGCGCGCTATGCTATGTATTTGGAGGCCAGAGACAACCCTCTTTCTGCCTTTATATAAGCTCCAGAGACTGGACTCAGGTTACCTAGGCTTTCATGGCAAGGGCCTTTAGCCACTAAGCAAATGTTTCTCAACCTGTGGGTCGAGACCTCTTTGGGGGATGGAAGGACCCTTTCACAGGGGTCGCCTAAGAGCATCAGAAAACACAGATATTTACATTATGATTCATAACAGTAGCAAGATTACAGTTAGGAAGTAGCAATGAAAATGTTATGGTTGGGGGTCCCCACACCATGAGGAACTGTATTAAAGGGTCGCAGCCTTGGAAGGTTGGGAACCACTGCACTAAGTCATCAAGAAGGCCTGATCTTGTTTTTGTTTTTTTTTTTTTTTTTTTGGTTTTTCGAGACAGGGTTTCTCTGTGTAGCTTTGCGCCTTTCCTGGAACTCGCTTTGTAGACCAGGCTGGCCTCGAACTCACAGAGATCCGCCTGCCTCTGCCTCCCAAGTGCTGGGATTAAAAGTGTGAGCCACCACCGCCCGGCTGATCTTGTTTTTTTTAAAACGAAGGTCTCACTATAGTCCAGGTTGACCTCAAATTCTCAATCCTCCTGCTTCAGCCTCCCTAGTGCTGGGATCACGGCCCTGCACCACTGTAGTTCCTGCCTGGCATTCATGAACACTAAGGAGTCTGTGACGCCCTGACTTGCAGGCAAACACCTTATCAGTAAGCAGTTTTCGGAGGAATTCATTGAGTACCTTGATGGGAAACCTCTCTGGTCAGTGGAGTTGTAGTAGTGTGTAATAATGTGGGTAGGTCAGTCTAGGAAATACAGCTGACGAGCCTGGGTCAGGCCCTCTGGGCTGACGGCGTGGCTTTCTCATTCTCAAAAGGTTGGGTCGGTCCACCCTCCAGCAGCGCTGTTAACAGAGTGACCATGGGAGGAAGAATTAGGAACTAGGTACTTCCTTAGCTGGGGCCTGCCTCCTCCCTGGCCTTTCTGACAACGTCTCCAGGCCTCTCCTCAAAGCTCTGGTTCAGCTACGTGGTTCTCAGGAAGGCTGGCTAGTCCCACAGCCCCTTTCCAAAGCTGTGTTTGCAGTGTTTACACAGGGTAAAGGTTTTCACAGACCAGGGGGTATTTGGTCATCACCTCACAGTGCCCCCTCCGGAAGGGTAAAGTCATGACCCCACACACACACACATTAGTATCAGATATGCAGAGAGTTTCTGTGACTGGCCCAAGGTCACACAGTTGGAAATATGGAGCCCAGGCAAACTCCAGAGTCTGACCTAGGACACAGCTCTAAAATCATCCCGGAAGTGAGGTAAGTTGTGACAAGTAGCCAGCCTATTGAGCAGTGTCTCATCTGAAGACCCTTCCACGTTTGGGCACTGCGTCACACACCTGTAATCCCAGCACTCATGAGGCCAAGGCCAGAGGGTTGCAAGTTCCAGACTGGTCTTTAAAAATCCACCCAGACTCAACCAGGAGGACCCCTGTGATGTCCAGTTCTGGAGCCAAGCGGGTCCCAGGGCCCTCACTGATGTGCTTTAGATCTGCAGCACAGCCCACTGTCTAAGACTCAGTCCCTGTCCTTAAGATAGGAAAGGGAGCTGGGGCGCACACTTTCAATCCCAGCACTCGGGAGGCCAGCCTGGGCTACGGAGCGAGATCCAGGACAGCCACCAAAGCTACACAGAGAAACCCTGTCTCGAAAAACCAAAAAGAAAAAAGACAGGAAAGAGACCAGCTCTTAAACCAACGACTCCAGGACACAGTAGGCTCTCACTGTGGGCAGCTTCAAAGTTTCTTCAGGCCAGGCCAGGGTAACATTGGTCAAAGAGTCTGTACCACTCCACCCCTGTGACAGGGAGGGGGTGGGGGGTGGGAGTCGGGGGAGGAGTGAGGGATGACCTGGAGGGGCCACACCAAGGAGCTGACCCTGCCGCTTCTCCACAGGACTTACTTCCCATTTTCCTCGGGATGGATGAATCGACTCTCAGCTGCGGTTACAAAATGGTGAGGTGGGCAGGGCTGCTGGGTGGAGGGTCCACACGGGGACCTGCCGTCGCCCTTCTCCTCTGTCCCTCTCACCCCTGTATCGTCACCCTTGCCACCCCCATCCTTCCTCCCAGGTTCATCATGAGGAAAAGCCTGATCCGACATTTGCAGGACCGAGGGATACAGGTGAGGACTCAACCACTCCCCCCCCAGCAAGGAGCTGGTCCCCAGTCTATACAGTTTCCACCATTCTGTGCCACAAGGTGGATCATTTGGGCAGGATCTCACCCAAGTCTCAGTTTCTTCGCCTATAAAATGCAGAGAATGGAGCCGGGCGGTGGTGGCGCACACCTTTAATCCCAGCACTTGGGAGGCAGAAGCAGGCGGATCTCTGTGAGTTCGAGGCCAGCCTGATCCACAGAGCTAGTTCTAGGACAGCCAGGGCTACACAGAGAAACCCAGTCTTGAAACACACACACACACACACACACACACACACACACACACACACACACACACACACACACCCCAAATGCAGAGAATGGTATCGGTAGCTCTTTTGAATGTGTGCCTGGTACTTAATCAGGGACTGATAAGCATTCACCACTGGTCATGATGCTGGGGCCTGCTGAGAAGGTGCTGGGAACCACCCTGTTGCTCTGCCTTGATTAGTGGTCTATGGGAGCAGTGAAGGCATCTTGGTTTGGGTTTTGGTGGGCTTGTTTGTTTGGTTTTATGTGTAATAAGTGTTTTGCCTGCATATCTATCCGGCCTGGCACTGAGGCTGGAAGATGGCGTCAGATCCCTGGAAGCCAGAGTCACAGACAGTTGTGAGCTGCCAGGTGGACACTGGGATCAAATCTGGCTCCTCTGCAAGAGCAGCCAGTGCTCTGAACTGCGGAACCATTTCACTGGCCTCCTTTTTGTTGGGTTTTTTTGAGGCAGGGGCTCACCATATAACTCCTGATATGTAGACCAAGCTGGCCTCGGACTCACAGAGATCCACCTGTCTCTGTCTCTTGAGTGCTGGGATTAAACGCATGCGCCACCCTGCCTGGCCATGGTTTTGTTTTGTTGGCTTGTTTTCATTTTTTTATTTTATGCATATGGGTGTTTTGCATACATGTGTATCTGTGTACCTCATGTGGGCCTGGTACCCAAAGAGGCCAGAAGAGGGCATCAGATCCCCTGGAAATGTAGTTACAAATGGCTGTGAGCCACCATGTGGGTGCTGGGAATCCAAACAAGGTCCTCTGGAAGAGCAACTAGTGATCTTAACCACTGAGCTATCTGGTCTTTTATGTAGGCCAGGCTGGCCTCACTCATGGCAATCCTCTTGCCCCTGCCTCCCTAATGGTGGAGTTGCAGGCATAAACCACTGTGCCTGGCTTTGGACATTAAGTCAGCAAGCCTCACTGAAATGGTTCCACACATTCACCTGGGATGAGAGCGTTCTATCAAACATGGGGGAAAAAAGGAGCCTGTCAACCCCACGTGGGATGTGATGTCACAGCTAAGGACAGGAGCCAGTATTATGGGCCACAGACAGAGGGAGGTGGGGTCAGCTGGAAGAAGAGTGAGGGGAAGACAGTTCTTGGGGAGAAGAAGGACATCACAGGCAGGCATCTAGAGGGTTGAAGCTTGGAGGACACAAGGCTGGGCTCCGAGGGACTGAGTGGGTTCCTGTGGCTAAGGGCGGGGAGGTCAGTTAGACCCACTGGCCTCATGTCTAACAGGACCACGATCCTCAGCGCCCAGGGAGGGAAGCTTTTGAAGGTCTGCCGTAGGGAACACGACCCAGATAAACTCATACAGTAAGACTCACTTGGTCTACAACATGGAGACCGTGTGATGATGGGACAGGAGAGTGTCATTAAGAGCCTGATGCGGCCATGAACAGGAGTCAAACTTGAGTGACCGCAGTGGGAACAGACGGAACAGTTAACTCCCAGAGAGGAGCTTGGGCCACTGCCTGTGTGGATGAGGCAGGAGGAGAGCAGCTGTTCCTTAGCAGCCCCCTCTCACCTCTGACCTCCACGTGTTTAAAGACGGGACCCTTGCCTGTGAAACTAAGACATCTAGAGACCGTGTCAAGTCAACCAGCTGCAGGGACTCGCACACATAGTCCCTGGGACACAGAGGCAAGAGGATGGTGAGTTCTAGACCAGCTTGGGCTAAATAATGCTCCCTGCCTCAAAAGAACAAAACAAAGATGAACAGGGACGGCACTACGGTGCTTCAGTGGCTTCGGCTGTCAAACCTGATGACCTGAGTTTGACCCGGAACTCCTAAGAGCTGTCCTCTGACCCGCACACCTGGTGTGCTGTGCACCCACCCCCACATAAATAAACATCATCAAATTGTTTTAAATTCAAAACCAATGGCTGGGCATGTGGCTGGGTTGGTAGAGCGCTTGCCTGGCAGCCACAAAGCCCTGGGTTCGGTCGCCAGCACAGGAAAAGAAAAGGGACTGGAGAGATGGCTCCTCAGTTGGGAATACTTGCTGATCTCCTAGAGGACCCAAGTTTGGCTCCCAGCACCCGTAATCACTGGCTTACAATCCCGTGTAACTTCAGTTCCAGGGGACGAGATGCCCTCTTCTGACCTGTGTTGGTACATAGACATACATGTAGACAAAACACTCATACCTATAAAATAAATAAGTAAACCTTTAAAAAAATTAAATAAATACAAATAATTTCATAAAAAGGACAACAAGAAGCAAAACAAGCCGGGCAGTGGTGGCGCAC